AGATATTATTTAAATTATCCCATTACAGCACTGTACTTAGGCTTATGTATAATCTGGGTCATGTCGGAAACCGACTCGAGAGTAGCAATCAGTTTTTAGATCCTAACTATAAAAATCAAAGATAATACATTTTATTTTATAATATTTTCTTAAACCATTTTATTTGAAATAAATAAATATTATTATTAATTTGCGATTTCATTAATTCACTAATATCGTGTGTGGCATTGGGATCTGACAAATCTTTATCTATGTTTACTAGACAAGTATAGTACCAAGACATTGTACCAAAACAAAGTAAAAAGCAAAAACTTGCAAAATTAAAATGTCTATAAATAGCCCAAAAATATTGAACTTGAAATATGGCCACTTATTGAAATGCTACAAATGCCTTTTCGCCTCCAATGAAAATGATCACACACAGAAGCAAATCAAAATGCTATTATAGACATGGCCTAGTAGTCAAAAAACTTGAAAATTAGGACAATGAAGATTTAAAGTACCAAAGCAACAAAAAAGTGACCGAGAACTGTACCTTTTTTATATATCATTGAATCATTAGAACTTTTATGCACACATATAATACGGAAAAAAAAAAAAAGAAAAAAAAAGGGGAATAGACGTTTAATATTCAACTGTTTGGATTTTTCCGAAAACCCATTTTCTCTCCGCTGTCCGACTTATAAATTCTTTTAAAATGTCATCCCAAAGGATATACTATATTATATTAATGCTACATACATATTACATGGGTGTTATTTTTAAATAAAACAATGCTTAAAAAAAATGATAATTTTCAATCAATGAATTATCGAAGGCAAGGTTATACACAAAGATGGAATATTCAGCATGAAGTCGCGTTCCGGTATTTAAACGGGTATTTAACACAAAGGTTATGACTTATACACTATTGAAAACTATATTAAAAGATCGATAGCATTAGGTATATTAGATTTAAACACCCAAAAGATTAATTTGAACAGTCTTCTTGTGGTCTCTAATAATTTGGCATATTTAATTTCCTGTTCACTACCGTTACATCTCTTTTGTATAAAACTAAAATAGATTTTCTACCACTATTTATAACAGATTGTAAGAAATCATTTTGCTGTATAAATTCAACAATATTCCGAATAAAATAAGGCACCTTGTCATTATCATTTTTTTGAAGACTTTGAAAAATATCGAGAAATTAATAATAACTATCTGGAACACCCTCTATATTCAAACATAGTAATAGGCAAGGGTGGATGGGTAGTATTTTTGTTACAGGAAAATATTTTCAGGGGCCCCAAACTGAAAAAAAAGTTTTATACCACTCACATTACATATTCAAAATAACAATTTTTTTATAAACATTTTTCACATATTAATCAATTTTGGTTAATCATTTACAATTGTATAATAATATTTTTAATACAATAGTAGTTTTTGTAATAATTTACTTTTAGAAGCTACTTGATCAATTATTTGGTCAGTCAATTCCGTTCAACAATTGTTTCTTAATAGACACGAGCATAAAACTTTCCAAAAGGTCTTGTGATAAGGTGCTCCTTAAATATGATTTTATATATTTTAATTTTGAAAATCTAAGTTCACAGCTTACTTGAGTGACAGATAAAGTAAGTAGTAATTTGTAGCAGTTGTAGAGACTAGGATAAGTGTTGGTGTATAAATTATACTTCATTAAGAAATTAAAAACACAAACCACACAGTACTTATCACCAGCTGTAGTATGGGAACATTTTTCTTCACCATCACCATCAGATTTATTATCGGAGTTATATTCAGTGTAGTCATAATTTTCACAAAAAATGTTTTTTTTTGAATTCACTCCACTTAGATATAAAGTCTGTAAATTCATCTCTTAATGTGGGATAAAATGAACTATTTTATTATACATGGTTGACAAAGCTGTTGTAGGTAGAGGCATGTTTACTTGAAAGTTATTTGGTTCAAGGCATGAAAAGTATGCAAAAAGTTGACTGGGCAATGAAAATTTAGATGAAATACTTTATATTATTTAAAAAAAAATTAAATTATAGACACTGACTTCAAATGCATGCATAGAGTCATCTAGTGCAGTGGTTCTCAAACTAGATGGCTTTTAAGTAGGACTATGGACCACTTTGGGTTTTGCTTCGAAAAATAAAAAAGTTATGCTTTATTATTTTTGTTTTGTCTGCAGATTAGTGTATTAAATGTAATAAAAAGTTAAAAGCATATATAAATATAAATAAAATATAACAATATCGGTGTATCAATTATAAAAAAAAATATATTAATGAGAGTGTTGTACTTGTTTTGTTTTGACAATTTTATCTAATCTTGGTTTCACCGATGAAGTCAAAGCTACCCGTAGAGCATGATGTGCGACATCAAGTTTATTTCTGGTTTTGGTTTTAATATGGGTCATTCCGGAAAATATGGAAATATGGAATACTGAAGAGATCCCTAAAGATTGGAATATGGCATTAATTTGCCCTATACACAAAAAGGATGATAAAAAAGAATGCAGCAACTATAGAGGTATTACCTTAGTGAATATAACCTATAAAATCTTATCGTATTGCATTCTAGATAGAATCAAACCTTTGGCGGAAAATATCATAAATGACTATCAAGGTGGTTTTAGAGAAAATAAATCCACAATAGATTAAATATTTATTATAAGACAACTATATCAAAAAACCTGGGAATTCGATCAAGATCTACATACACTTTTTGTAGATTTCAAAAAGGCGTATGATAGTATTAACAGAGAAAGTATATACAAAATTTTAGAACATTTCCGCATCCCACAAAAGCTTATAGGATTAATTAAAGCCACTTTAAATGGGACCATGGTAAAAGTGAAAGTTGGTAATGTACTATCAAGAGAAGTTCAGGTGAATACAGGCCTACGGCAAGGTGATGCACTATCCCCAATTATTTTTAATTTAGTTCTGGAAAAAGTAAATAGAATGATGAATATCTCACCAGATGAAGGGGTGAAACTCGATGGAACATCAATAAGTATTTTAGCACACGCAGATGATATAGCGCTTTTAGGAAATAATATAAATACAGTGAAAAGTCTGTGCGAAAGACTTATAACAGCAGCGAGAAGAGTTGGATTGCAAATTAATGAAGAGAACACAGAATATATGGAAATAAGTAGACAACGGTACGGAAGGCAAGCAGAAGAGTTTCTAAAGGTAGGTCCTTATAGTTTCAAAAATGTATCACAATTTAAATATTTGGGTACAATGATCGCCCATTCAAACAATATGGAGTATGAAATACTTAATTTCTCCGCGGAAAAAATGGTAGAAAGTCTAGAATAATTGCTGTTTTGTCTTCGTTCACGTCGATGATCTCAACTCGTAATAACTTCGTATAGCA